AGGTACATTTAGTAACCACGTTGTAACCTTGCCGTCAAGTCTCCGTTAACAGTGTTCCGTTTTTTTTATTAACCTATTGTTTAGAGTTAGTTGTTATGTTTGGGGGGGGGGGGAATTTTCCCTCCAAAAACCAACAGCTCTCCCCTCCCCCTTATATTCCCCCCCTTTCCCTAATTTTTAGGGTTTCAATTTATCTTTTCTTTTTTTCCAATCATGTCATCTTCAAGTTCTCGAAGCTCCTTCCCCTCGAATTCGCCTTGTTCATTGGACTTTGTCAGCCCACGATGTTGGTGCAGGCCACAGAAGCTTGCGAAGTTGAAGATCTCAAGCACAATTCGCAACCCAAGGAAAGCATTTTTCAAGTGCAATGATTGTGGATACTTCAAGTGGCTGGACGAAACAGATAATTTGGGGCTTGATGCTTTGATGAATTGCAACAATGGGATAGAGTCAGTGGTTTTGAAATTGACAGATTTTATGTCTTATTTTAGGGAAGTAGTAAAAGTTGGAATTTTTATGTATGTTTTGCTTGTTGTGATTTTGTTGTTCAAAAATGGGACAACTTAATTGTAATTGTAATTGCCTAAATTGCGGCTTATTGTAACCCAAGTTAATTATATGAAATGAAACGAATAACAGTTATTGTAACCTTATTTTGGTCACTCTGTTTTTTTGTTACTCTGTTTATGTTTCATAACAGTTGTTTATAATGAATAACCAAATTCAATAAAAGCAAAGGGGTGGCTAAGCATTTATAAATAAACACCAAACATTGTTTACAAAAAATTCCCCCATCAAGTAGCTAAGTAATGCAGTTTGTAGTCAAAAAAAGAGTAACCCCATTTACATTTAATCCATAACCATTAAAATCATGGGTGTACCAAAATTCCCCCATCAGGTAGCTAATTACAAAAGTGCTGAAACTTCAAATACATCCATTTATATCATGGAAAGCCTATTCTAAATTTTCTGCCTCTTTAAACTGATGCTCTGGTGAATGTCTCTGGTTGGTGGTGGTTGAGTAGAAGCAGAAACTTGTGCAGTTGATGTTCTACTGCTCTGTCTTGTTGGCTGGCTGAAACTTGCTCTTGGAATAGGGATCCTCCCACTTTGCCTAGGATGTGGCTGGCTTGTACATGGATTATGAACTGGCTGATTTGACCTCTCCCTTGTATGAGTTTGGCCTGATGTACAATTGTTGATCATAAGGTCAATCAAGTTGGTGTCAGTTTGCTGGGTTGAAGATTGTGCTCTTGTGGATCCTTTTCCTTTAGCAGTCTTGGTGGGTGCCTTCCCTTGTTGCTGCAACAACTCTTTCTTAGTTTCCCCTCCCTTGCATGTTAGAGTATTGTGCCCATACTGACTGCACTTGCTGCATCTAACAGTGGCACTTCTCTTTCCTTTCCTCTGTTCTCCCTCCTCCCTTCTTCTATTCCTGGAGGGTCTGCGGACACTTCTCTTGATTGGTGGTGGCAACAGTTTTGGGTTATCCATCTCTGGCCATTGTTCTTGATTTGGAAGTGGTAAAATGTTATCTTTGTAAGTAGCCTTGTACCTAGCCACTGAGTACCATTCACTGACATAGTCAGTTGGTTCCTTTCTAGCATGTAGCAGAGCTCTCATTCCATGCCTACATGGAATACCAGTTATTTGTCATCTACCACATACACAAGTTCTTGAGTTCAGTGAGACAGGAAGCATGCTTTTCCTATCTGAGATCTCATACTCCCCCCTTCCAGCTGGGTATGCATGGCAGGATCTAGATTCTTTGATTAGAACTCTAACCCTCTCTCTGATGTTAGGACAAACACCTTCCACCCATTGATCACTTATTTGTTGCCTTGTAGCATGCCTCACCATAGCTATTCTCCTCACACCTACATTCATAAATAAGTCAGTTGCATCTAAGTAAATCATGCAAATGTTAAAAATAAAACCAAGTTGTTCAAACATGATTACCTTCCAATAATGTTAGGATTGGATATGCTCTGTCCACACCAATTGTGCTGTTGAAACTTTCAACAAAATTGTTGGTATTTTCATCAGAGCATAATTGGGGATCAATTTTCCACCTTGTCCATGTTTGTAGTGGGCCAACTTCCCTGAACCACTTCACTGCTCCTAAACCAGCAACTGACTGAAGCTTGATCAGTGCCTTCCTAAAGCTGAACTCAGAGTATGCATTTGTGACTGACCTGAATAGCTTATGCATTAGCATCCCAGGGTAGCTGACTTGAAATTCTTGCACAAATGCCTTGCACAATATCTCCTAGGGACTTTTGGCCACACATCATCCAATGAGGGATCAATACCCTTGCATTGACAAAAAAATAAGCCTCACCAGTTAGTATAACATTAACGTATACATATATAAACACCTGACATTATGTACAAAAAAAGATGGTCACCTTTTGTCTATCTGACATTATGGTCCAGTCATTTCTACCAGTCTTTGTAAGTTAGTCTTCAAGTGGTGGAAAAACCAACACCAACTTGATTTGTTCTCTGAGTCCACCACTGCAACAGCAACAGGGAAGATCTCATTGTTTGCATCCAATGAGACAGCTGACAACAACACCCCACCATAATTCCCTTTCAGGTGGCATCCATCCACACCTACCAAACCTCTACACCCTTGCACTAGTCCCTTGAACTGAGCTGCAAAACTGATGAAAATTGAGTTGAATTGCAGAGGGTGCTCAGGCTGCTGCAATACTTTCCAAGTACAGAAAGCAACAGATTCTGGGTTCCTCTCCATCAACAGATAGCAATAGTCAAGCAACTTACTATAGGATTCATCATGACCACCTTGTATCATTCCCATAGCAATCCCTTTCATCTTGTAGATAGTGGATGTAGCCATCTTAATTCCATATCTCTCCCATAGCAGCTCATTCAGTGCTTTTCCTTTGATATCAAGACAAGCTCTAATTTCCTCCAGAAGCTTCTTAGCTACCCACTCACAGTTAGCCATAGGATTGTTGATAAGGTTCAAGTTACACACATGCTTGTTCTTGATACTCTTAATAGCCCAGGTGTGTCCATCAGGGAGAATGCTTGCATGAATTCTCCAGCTACACCTTATGTCAGCACACTCTTCAGTGTACCTATCACACTCTGCTTTCCTCACCACTAGTGAAAAACCTTCCTGGATGCAGTAATCTCTAAGGGCATCCTTAAAATGCTCCCTGTCAACAAACAACTGCCAACTCCTACATCCAACCCTTCCACTCTCAACTAAGGGTGTGACCTGTGATTGTTGGGTTGGTACAACCTTAATGCCTTTCAACCTAGCTGTACTACTAGCCAATTTTTTGCCATGAGGGAAAATTATAGCTTTAGATCTAACTCTTTGCTTCTGTGGTGAACATGAATGGTTTGTGTCACTAGTTGGAAGTGAAGTTTGAGTTTGATTCAGAAGCAGCCTAGGGCTCCTCCTACTTTGAGTTGGAGAAGAAAGTTGGGATTGAGAGGAAGCTGCAAGTGATATATGGGGTGGAGACAAGGGTATTTCTTCCAATAACCTAGGTAATCTCCTACCACCACTATTGACATGGATGGACTGGTTTTGTAGAGGGGGTTATGAACAGGGGAGAGATGTGGAGGGGAATCAGGTTGTGTAATTCTTGGGCTCTTTCTCTTAACTAGAAGCTTTGATGTTGGTGGCTTGGTTGAAAGAACAGAAGGACCACCTTTTTTTACAGCAATTGTACCAACAAATGGGCCAGCTTGTATAGAGTGTGAGCGGGATGGGATATGAGGTTGATTTTGGGTATCAACAGAAGAGTGGGGTGGGCCATGATGTTGAATTACTGGATCAGGTAGTGGGCCTGGACATTTTTGGGCTTGTGGCTTAGGGTCCACTTGTTGGGATTTAACAGTTCTGGCCAAATTCCATATAAATGTAGGCTTACTCAAGCACCTTACCCAAATATCAATCTCTTTACTCTCAAATTTTTTAAACATCTTCATCAATGTACCATCATCAACCAAATCAAATGCTTTCTCATTACGACAGTAGTGCAACCCAGGATATTCAGGCAACTCATAACCTCTCCTACCAAATTCCTCACACATATCATTTATCATATCAATTAACAAACACTTATCTATATCATCAATCCTTACATCAACACAATGTTCAAAATAATGAATTTTCAATATTCTCTCCTCCTCCATCTGCAAAGTTTAATCCAAAACCAAACAACAATCAAACACCCATTCACTACAGTCTACATCAGATACAACCACATGCATACACAATTTTTTACCAAAATTAAACTCAATAATGCCAAATACCCAGAAAACTAAACTCAGCCACATTTTGCATATTTCACCAAAATTGTTTACAATTATGCCACAAAACCAACAAATAATAACAAATAATAAACAAATTTATCAACTTTATGCAATCAACATCACAATCCAACCATTTTTCAACAACAAATAGCCACAATTCGCAAAATTTAAACTTCGAGAGCCAATACACATACCTTGAACGATGACTAATGTCGCACACAATTTCGCACCAGAAAACCCTAGCTTCGTCGCTTCAAATCGCACCAGCAACAGCTTGAAAATTCGTCCTTTTGATTTCGCAATTTAGGGTTTCACATCAATTTTTTTGGTGGAGAAGGAATGAAATAGGGGGTTAGTGTAGGAGGGAATTAATTTTGAAGAGAGAGAAAATGACAGTACAAAGGCAGAGTTAGGTGACGTCTTAAATGCCCACCTAACGTCTGTCATAAATGCACCATGACGCGGGTTACCGTACAGTACCTAAATGTACCTTGGGGTTACAGTGTAGAAGTTTGAAAATGTAAGGGCACAACATAGAATTTTGAAAAGTAGCGGGTTATAATGTAGAATTTCCCAAAAAAAAATTAGAGAGTTGAGCTCAATTGGTTAGAGCTTTCTACCCAATTTTAGGAAATCCTGAAATCTATTATCCGTCCTGATGACTCTCTAAACATTAAAAAAAAAAAAAAAAATACAATAGATGACACAAAACCTTGCTTCCATGACCAAAATTTCTGAATTGTTACAGTCAATGAAACGATAATTGTAAATTTGGACAAAAATATAATTGAATATAATAAGAGATCTATGATACTACCATTGCTAACTGCTAATAAGGGAACATCTAGAGGGAAAAAACACATACATATCAAGATAAATTTAAGCCCAATACTATTGGTATACTTGCTACTACCACCAATTGTAGTTTCTCCTCGTCCCATCACTACTAGAGTTACCAAACCTTGACGCAGAAAATCCATGTGGATAATGATTTGAATATCCTTGTTTAATTGGAGTACCAGAACTGAACTTATTCCGTCGTTTTGAAGACTGCGTGTTTGAACCTTGACCACCCGCAGTCAAACCAAATATCTTGTGCTTCTTGTTTGGTGCAGAAGGAGACCTCCAGCCATATGAGCCATTTTTAGGGGGCAGATCACCTGGGTGATCTGTCATCCAGCCACTCCTCCTGTTAGATTTGCTCGACCAGGTAGGACTTCCGTTGTCAAATCTCTTATGGGTATTGCCAAAATCATGTGGGGCAGATTTAAATCCTTTGCTGGTCTTGTAGTCACTAGGGTATTTCTTGGTTGGAGTTGATAAATCACGAGTTCTTTTCTTCGCCTATGACCGCATAAGAGAAAATAAAACTTGTCACTGATGTCCAAATCATCATTATAATAACATTAAGGTTATAGGATTCAAATAAAGCAACGGAGATGAAGGGTAGAAGGTTGAACTTATTCCAGGAATAGGCAGTTCAATTAAATCAAATCAGTGAAGAGCCAATGCAACTAAAGAAAATACCTTAGAAGAATTTGTGCATTCACGAGCAAAGTGCCCTTCTTCACCGCACTTAAAACATGATGTCGGAGTACCTGCAGATGATGTTTCTCCCCGTGATCTTCTGCATTCCTGCAAAGAAAATAGTCAGATCCACATGCAACTAGAAAGGCATCCTCCAAATTATAAAAAATTAGACCTCAACACTTAAGTAATGGATGCAATATAACCCCAAAAATGATGAGTGCTGAAGTAACATTTGCAATGCGTATTTGCAGGATTGGCCTATTCAGTGTACAGGACAATTTTAAAAAGCTAAGGAAGTTTAATGTTACCCCTTGAGAATCAAACTAGATCTCAAAAGCAAAGCAAAAGAATTAAAGCAACTTGTGAATATCAGGCAAATCAATTCCTGACGCTATTAAGCTAAAATCCTGTATACATGAAGAAGACACTTGTTTTTTCTTGCCTTTGTAAATAAAATCAGGAGTAATTCTTTAGCTTGAGCTTTCTTACTTGTATCTCCTGCTAACCTAAGGCTTGTGTTCCATCAATGTCCAAGATTCGCTGATTATATAATTCATATCCTTATAATCCTCCACTTCCTCCTTTTGTAAATAAGTGAGACTCTTGGGTGTTTTTCCAAGTATTTTCATCACTTACGCTTATCCTTCCATTAATATATACGACATTCAAGTTTATTAACAAGCACAGAAAAATGCAAACTCAAATTTCTTCTTAAGATTCAAGTTGATTAAGGGTGTATGAGAATGTTACCCAAATATGACTTTAATATTGGAAAGAAAAAAGCCTATAAGCATTATGAAATAGAAAAAGCATCAAAAAATAAAATACTACAACACTAATGGCAGTTAGATAAAAAGCAGTATAATCAGCATAACAACGATGAAGTACAAGACTATACAGAAATGACAAAGTGCCAAAGAGGCAAAGAATGAACATTAGAATAGCAAAATATCTGGGCAAGGAAACAGAAGAAATTTCATAGCAAATTTTGAAATAACATTGAACAAGGTCATGAGCCCCAGCACAAAGCATTACTCCCACTTTTCACTAATAGTAAGTCATCAGTTGGACCAAAAGTAGTGCATAAAGCATGATGCAGATTAAGAGAATAGAAACAATACCTGTCCATCATGTCCTGACTGACCACATTTGAAACATGAAGCTTCACTTAAAAGAGCATCATAATAGTCCACACAGCAAAGATGTCCAAATCTCTTGCAAACATAACACTTAATTTCCTGGTAACATTTATAACCAATAAGTATGGTCAGGAAGATACTATCTTAAAAAGACAAGCACCCCATCACAAATAAGATTCCCATTTGCATTCTCTATAGCCAACTATGGTTATATTTACCCAAATCCAAAGTTAAGAATAATTCAACAAATGTTTTACTAGTTTAGGATTGAACTATGACTCAACTCTTTCAAGCACAAAGTCTAAACTACATAAACTTACCATAAAAGAACAATGCCTTCCGGTCTCAATTTTAGTCATAGTGCAAATAAAGCACAATATTTATGTGATTTTATTGACTTGTCTAGGCAAAGAAATACTTTATTAAGCTAACACAAAGAAGAAAACATTTCAATGAAATACTCTTTTAACTTTTTAAAAAAAAAAATTAGTCCCCTGAAATTTCCATTTTCATTTCCTAGTATGATTGCTTGGTCAGCGCCTTTTTTACAAGTAATCCTTTCCACTTTTCATTGCAGAAATTCAGCTGGATAAAAGGAGGGGAAAAAAAAAAACAAAAAAAAAACCTTGAGATCATCAGGTAAGTAGCCACTGTTGCATGAGGACATGGAATGAGCAGAAGCACCACATTTTAAACACAAATCTGAGGCCTGAGAACTGCGCTTAAACTTTTTAGGACAATCTTTGGCACGATGACCCTCTCCCTTGCATATGTAGCAATCCTTTCCCTACATCATTGCACACAGATATTACAAACATCATTGTGAAAACATTAAACAGTACTAGGAAGGGCAAAGAAACTTCTCAACACAAAACGATAACAATAGCCCTGAAAGTGATAGTTGTCCGCCTTACTATAGATAGAGTAAAGACATGACAGCTTCAAAACCTTAACAGCTCAACAGGTTCAACAAATACAACTTTTAAGTAAGCCGTGAATAATGCAGGCGGGATAAATTTATGGGGAAGCAAGAGATTTGGAGGTATATCCATGGGTAGCTGTATTTCAGACATATACCAACCTTCCAACTAATCATAGGCAGAAACAGAATCATATCCTCAGAGTCCCTATTCCCTAACAGGTGTAAGAGTATAAATTATAATGGGTAATGATGGTTGATTTACAAATAGGGGACATGAAAAATTGGACTTTAGTGCACCTTCGAAGGTAAAGAACCTCCCATGTCACATTAGAATTCAGTTGAGCATAAAACCTTCGAGTTCCAATGATATGTATCAACCAAACATTGCAACATTTCTGTACTTAAATGAATTTACCAAGTCAGCTTACAACCAACCAGACAATCAAAACAGAGTAGCTCCTATGATGAATAAGAAACTATATCAATTCCTAGTAGATGACTAGATTGAACTGTTAAACCAATCCTAGAAATAGATTAATTATATCAATAGACAAATGACAGCTATGGATACTAAAATATCCAAACATTTAGGCTATTCAACAGACTTCAGACATAGCAGAAAGCATCAGTAAGCAAGCTTGCCTCAGCTTATATGAATATCAGGAACACAAATTCAGTTACCTGGCTTATAAAAAATGGAAGAAGCTAAAAAGTACAAATACAATCATATTCTTAAAGTTTCCTCTCTATATACCTTTTGACATTGTTTCACCTCGTGCTCAAGACTCCCACATATAAAGCAAGGCTTCTTTCTCCTAGCCGACGTGCAATTAACTGCTGAATGGCCATTCTCACCACAATTAAAACATGCTCCCCAACTCTTATCTGGAGGGTCAAAATATCTTGGTCCGCGCTGAGGGGATAAAAAGAGACATACGAAACTAAGCCTTTACAGTAAAATGTACTTCCGAAAATGGGCATTCAGGGCCAGTAATCACACTCACAAGAAGCTTTCGTAGAACAACATTATTAGAATTGGAGTTGTCAACACCATCTGATTCGGATAGCTTAACCACTTCCACATCGTCTGTTGGCTCCACATTATCTTCCTCCTTCATCGGTGTGACCTAGAACAATATAATCAATCAATCAATCAATCAGAAAGCACATGAAACATGACCTGAATTCACAAGATATAACCTTTCTATAAACATTGTTAACATAACATGATCAGCAAAAGTTTCAAAACCAGAAATCTCATCATCATCTCAGATGCTATGACTATCACAACTATAACAAGTCTTCTGAATATCAATGAGACGACGAATAACATCCAAACTCATGGGTTTATTTCACTAACATGAAGCATAGCCTTGACTTTATAATTGAGTTCCGTTAGTCACTCTATACTCATAAAGATCACCCTTTTTATAATCATATCGAATATTAAACCAAATAAACTTGGTAAGTGTTGCCCTATCAAAGCGAATGCAACTGAGCTTTACATCAAAATTTCAACCAACATTGATACAAAAGTTCATCAATCTATCATAACACATAATGCACACTACTAATTTATACATAATTCAAATATCAATCATAAATGCGAAAATATGCAATAACTATATATTAATTTACAGGTATATATATTCAAAATAAAAACTTTAGAGCATGGAAAACTACTTAACCATATGAATTTCAGTCCCAACTTTTTTGCCCTTGATTTTCTTCTTCATCTTTTTCTCTTTCTTCTCCTTCTTCCTGACGATTTCCGACGCTACCAATTCAGTTGTGACGATATCGTCGTCACCTGCAACATTGGCGGCGTTGGAGGCGCGTGACATAGCCTTCTCAACAATTTTGAGGCTCAAATCTTCGTTAGCTTCTTCATCGTCACTATCAATGAAGACGAAAGAAGATTTACGACGAGATTTATGGTGTTCTTCATCTTCTGAGTATTCCGACTTCGATCTCGATTTCGATCGCTTCCCCATTGCTGGGGTTTGCAGAAACACTAAACCCTAATTTGGTGATTATCGATTGAATTCGATGAATTTGGGCAGTTTTTTCTATTTCTATTGATGTGTGACCAAGTAAATCAGTTGAATAGCAGCAGCCTGCAGAAATCTAGGGTTTGTGCGATGTCACGTCTCCGAATGGTATCTGTAAGTTTTCTAGGACAGTTTTTTTTTTTTTAAAGGACATGTTAAAAGGAGTTAAAAGAGTGGGTTGTTTTACACTTTTACTTGCTTGGTTGATGTGGAAAAACTCAATTACAGTGTCAAACTACTCTTTTTCAGTGTACTTTGTATAAATAATGGAGTATTTATTATAAGCATACGGTGTAATATGTGATTTAAAAAAAAAAAAAAAAAAAAGACAGATGATATTCAAGGTACATATTTATATTGGAAATTAATTAAACAACTTAACAAAAGAAATAAAATAAAGCATTGCAATTTGACGACTTTGCTTTGTGAATACTTAGAATATCTCTTTTGTGGATCTTATACGATAAGTACATTGGTTAAATGGTTAAGAAAACACGATCAATTTGTCAACAAAACTGACAACATATGTATGCATATTAGATCAATATATTTGGAGTAATATTCAAGCAATGAAAACCAAAACGTTGCACAAGTATGAAGTAACGCCAAGTTTGGTAATTTGTCTTGAGATCGCCAAATAGTGCGTTCTGTAATGTATATGTTTAATTTCGACCTTTAAGTGAGGAAATATATTGTATGTGTAATACATTAATAAAATTTAGCTTTCGGTTGACTCCGAGGCAATTGCTCGTATGTTGTTGGAGGATGCGCCTCCTCACTCTCCTTATATTCAAATCATCCACAAATAAATGTTAATCACTTATCTCGAGACAGAGTTGGGAAGTGTTGATGGAATACTACTCCCTCCATTTTTAAATACTTGTTCCATTTCTCTTGGACACGCATGCCGATGCTAATCTTTGATCACTAATATCTTTAATTACCAATAAATATAAATTCTAACAATTGAAATTTAATAATCTATTCATTAAGATGATTCCAACAAGTACCCACTAGACTATATTTTATCTTAGGTATAAATCACAAACATTAGCCAAGGTAGGACAAATGAATAGTGCAAAAAATGAAAATGGAGCAAGTATTTAAAAACAGAGGAAGTACTATAAAGAAGCTAATCAAGCAGCGGATTGGTTGGCTAACCATGGTGTCAACTTGATCAAAAGTTGGTGATTTTTTTTAGCGATCTCAAGGGATCTTCGTGCGGTTTTATTGGAGGATTTGAGTGAAGTGGTTCAGACGAGAATTGCCGCTTCTAATAGGGTTTGAAGTGGCGTAATGGAGTCTTGGTTTGTTTTGTTTGTTTTTTGTTTCTTTGTTTTGTTTGACTTTGTTTTTGTTTATTTAGTGTGGTTTGTATGTTTCGGGGCCTTGCCCCTCTTTTGCACCAAAAAAAAAACATATTAATAATCTAATCACCTTGTTTATCAACCCTTTTTTTATACAACATATAATTATCTTTTAACTAAAGTTTAATCACGAGGTATTGACATCAAGACTATTAGGTGGCAGCGTCCTCCTGAGTTTGAAGATTGATCATGCACCAAAAGTTTTTTTGTTTTTGAATGTCATCGTGTATTGATATGTTATGAAATTACATTACTCGAAGTTGGTGATTGTATCGCGACATTGTCAATGCAATATTGCTCAAGCATATACAAAAGCAAATCATCATATCAGTGCTACAAAGAACACGGAAAAAAAAAAAGGTACAAAATTACTCAACTTGAGAAGTAGATCGAAATCAACTAGAATTCGACTTAATTGTCTTCTGAGAACTAAACTTTCAAAATCGACTTAAGTAAAATATCATGTTAATCCTATATCTAAGTTAACCTGCAACTCATTAAGAAATAATAGATGCAATTGGTCCGCACTTTAATAGATGACTCGAACCTCAATTTGACCAGATAATTATTGTTAACCATACAAGTACATCTAATAACTAATTCCATCAAGGTAATGTTTTTAGTCTCATGCTTGAATGGTCGCATGGACCGTACAAATTACTCGAACTATATCATATCATTAGATTTTACAAGGCTCAATCAATTTACGTATATAAATATAATGCCAAACAACAATTGTCCTTACTTATTGAGATAAAAGTTTGCACCTTATGACCTTGAGGTTATGATGAAAAAAATACAAGAATGACACTCGAAAAGCCAATCGAATTCTATTAATTTCAACATTATTCAATAATATGAAAAAGTGGAATACATAAATAGTATGATAATATGGAGATGGAGTAATACAATACAAAAGATCAAAATCTAGCAATTTAAATTAATAAAGCGGTCCAAAATTGAAAAGAACTCGAGCTCCAATCCAAACCCGAGTTTTTTTATTTTTTTTATTTGTTTGGAAGAGGACCCGAGATTTGATTGATTCATACTTAACCATGTATCTCGTGGGTTTGATAATAAAGACGAGACTTGATATTAGATTTACAAATACCACCCCAAAGACTCCAATATTTTTTTACCTAATCCCTAATACAGGGTAATAATAATAATAATAATAATAATAATAATATACCTTTTAAAAATTAGAGATAACTTTTATGGATATTATTGTTTGGACAATTATACCCTTTAAAACATTTACTACTCGTACTTTTTTGCCTTTATTATTGCTAGTTGACTTTTTTATTTTTATTTTTTTAAAATAGTTTGTTAACATTTATACCCTTATTTATTTTGTCTTTACATATTTCCCCTTATCAATATTGTCAACAACTAAATTTGTGACATGTGATCGACTCGAAAGAGCTCTCTAAACATGGTTAGTTGAGGTTAGCGCATCGCGTTCATTATCCGCTTTTACTTGAAAATAAAATATGACCAGATGAAGTTCGTGCGATGCACAGTTTGTTTGAATTTTTTAAAATAATTGTTTATTATATATATATATTTAATTATGTGCTAAAATTTGTTATATACTTAGATAAAATTCCTAATATCAAAAGATAATATTTTATATTTAATTAATTTAAACTGGGAAATCTCATTCGTCAATTTAGCTTATGTGTCATTTAAATTATTTAATTCTAAAAGAAGTTAATAATTTCGTATTTAATTGGCTACCACTAAAATTTATTATCCTACGTGGCGCGCTGAAAAAATTAAATCTTACGTGGCTTTCTAAAAACTCAGGAAAAAACTCCCTTTTATACAAGTACTAGTATCGTGCCCCGTGCGATGCCCGGGTTGTTTATTAAATTTTAAGATAAATTTTTATTATATATATATCAAAGTAATGCCTAATAATATTAGTGAAAATGTTCGATTTAATACATAAAAAAAAAAAAAAATTAGCAAAAAATAAATTAAATTAAATAAATGTTCAAATCCCGTTGGGTTGTTTCGAACCCAAAACTTTAGGCAAGGGTTGAACAGTTTTGACTCGTAACCTGAAGTGACTCAATCCGAAATTACTCATGACCCGACCCTAATTGACATGTCTACATAGTTATAAAATTCTATTAGCTTAAATTGTGAACTATATTATTTTAAGCGGTTAGTATATATTATAAATGTATGTTTTACTCCTTGAAGTACTTCCTTCGCTCTAAAAAAATATTATGATATAAAAAAGTAAATTTATATGATAATTTTTTAGAATTATAATCTAATAATTTTTTTTGAATAAAATATAATTCAATTTGTACATCTAAAAAATTGGTATTTTATCGAAAATAAAACTTTTATCTTCTGAATTCTATTATATATCATATGATATTTGATTTGATTTCCTATTTGTGTAAAATGATACGTACGAATCTTGACCAGATTAATAAGAAGACAATTATTATTATTAATTTTTTTTTTTTTTTTTTGAAAGACGACCATTATTATTATTATTATTTTGAAATAAATTGATAAACACTTCTAGAAAAACTCGAAAATGCCCATGATTGAAGAAAAAGACGAAAAAGACCCTTTCTCTTTTCCTTCTCTCCTCTAACCTCGACCACCTTCTTCTGACGATCTCCTTCATTTTGCAATTTGCATTCTCCCTTCTCTCCCTCCATCTTTCTCTCTCCTCCGTACTCTCCACCATTAACGGCTGCTCCACCTCTTCTCTTTCTCTCTCCTCCATCAATGACTGTAATGACTCCTGCTCCCATCGACGTACGCCTTCTCCAACCTCCTTCTTCATCATCTTCTTCTCCTTCTTCGTTTCCGTCGCTTTCAATTTTCTATCAATTTCAGAATTCTTGCTCAATTCATGCGTTTGATTCAATTCGCTCGAATGTTGTCGATTTTGTTTGTTTTTTGGCAAATTCTATTTTGATTGCTGTTTCTTATGTTTGTTTTAGGGCTTTTCTGCATTTTTTTTTTTGATTTTTGGGTACTTTAATTGGACTGTTTTCGATTAGCTGATTGTTCGTCGTCTTTCGAGTTGATGTTAGGGTTTTTGATTAGGGGTTTGATGTAAGTTGGATCGGATTTTTTACTCTTGATTTTTGTTGTGTTTGCAGCAAGAAGATGAGGAGATGCTTGTCCCGCATTCTGACATAGCTGCTGACAATCACCAGCCTATGGAAGGTTAAATTTCAATATTTTTTTAGGATTTGTGTTTGAAATTTATCTTCTTTTTCGCGTTGATTGATCTCTTTTGGGGGTTGATTTGATCTGGTTGAGTTTATAAGTATGCTAATCACATTGCTAGGGTTCTAATTGTATTGTTGCTAATTAGTTTTGTTTACGTTTTAGTCGTTGCGCAAGCCGAGCCTGCTACTAATCCTGAGAATCAACCGGCAGAGGATCCTCCATCCTCCAGGTTTACATGGAAGATTGAGAATTTCTCCCGTTTAAATTCCAAGAAGCACTATTCAGATGTGTTTGTCGTTGGTGGTTACAAATGGTACTATTGAGTAGCTTTGTCGTTAATCTCGTTATGTATGCTATTGGCAGAGCTTTTTGTTGGCAGTTATAAACTTACTATACAACGTTTGATGCAGGCGAGTATTAATTTTCCCTAAAGGGAACAATGTGGACTACTTGTCTATGTATCTTGACGTTGCTGATTCTCCTAGTTTGCCCTATGGGTGGAGTAGGTATGCACAGTTCAGCTTAGGTGTGGTCAATCAAATTCATAACAAGTATACCGTGAGAAAAGGTATTATTTAGTAATTGATAAATGCCTTTACCTTTTTTATTTCCTTCCTTGCATTTGGCTGTAATAATTACCATGTCTCCGTGGATATGTCATTTCATCTTGTAAAATTGGAGATTTAGTTTATAAGTTTATTGAGCTGTAGACTTGATCATATCAAAGGCATTGATTATAAAAGGATTATGATAGATACCCAATCAGTAAGTAAAGACATGAGGTGTGAGTGTGCTTTGTTAATGCTAATGTTGACCTATATTGTGATTTGGGCGCTATGTCACACTTGTTGTGTGCAATGGTTAATATGTATCCATGACCTTCCCGACCTTTTCTGGACTACTTTAACTAGCAAAATCATGTCATGTTGGCAGTTACGAGTGCTGAAAGTAAAGAATTGTCAATGTGTAGGCAATCCAGGCCTTAAGCCTTATTTGGTGGTTTAGATTTTTTAATGTTACATTTTTATTTCTTTTATATCACCATTGTGAATTTGCAGATACACAACACCAGTTCAATGCCCGGGAAAGTGATTGGGGGTTTACGTCTTTTATGCCTTTAAGTGAGTTATATGACCCCACCAGAGGATATCTTGTAAATGATACTGTTCTGGTGGAGGCTGAGGTTGCTGTTCGTAAGATTGTAGACTATTGGTCTTACGATTCGAAAAAAGAGACGGGGTTTGTTGGACTTAAGAATCAGGGAGCTACATGCTACATGAATTCTCTGCTTCAGACACTTTATCACATTCCTTATTTCAGAAAGGTCAGTCGTAACCCTAGCTAATCTATTGATTTTAAGGATACAAGTTTATTTTCCGGTAAGCTAACACTCTGTTTGCATCTGGTATATAGGCTGTGTATCATATGCCTACAACTGAAAATGATATGCCATCTGCAAGCATTCCTCTGGCTCTTCAGAGTTTATTTTACAAGCTCCAATACAGCGATAGCAGTGTTGCAACTAAGGAATTGACCAAATCTTTTGGATGGGATACTTATGATTCTTTCATGCAGCATGATGTCCAGGAGTTAAATAGAGTTCTATGTGAAAAGCTGGAAGACAAAATGAAGGTAGGTTTTTGAATGGAATAAACTTTCATGTTACTCATCTGTAGAGTTTATGATCTATTAATGTTTTATTCCAGGGTACTGTTGTTGAGGGCACTATTCAGCAATTGTTTGAAGGGCATCACATGAACTATATTGAATGTGCAAATGTTGATTACAAATCTACAAGAAAGGAGTCCTTTTATGGTAAGTTCTTCTGATTAGATTTTTTCTGTATAGCAATCTCATCCGGATGTTAGGTTTGGCTGTTCAGGGGTATGTGCTCTTAATTTCTTGCATATTCTGTCACAGACCTTCAGCTCGATGTCAAAGGTTGTCGTGATGTTTATGCTTCTTTTGATAAGTATGTGGAAGTTGAGCGATTGGAGGGTGATAACAAGTATCATGCTGAGCAGTATGGTTTACAGGTTAGTATTACACCATTGCATGATCCTTAAGACACCCACTTTGGGTAGTGTACCACATGATTAAAGCAGTGGTTATAGATTTCGATGTCCTATTGGTTTTCTGATTTTCTTAATTTTTTTTAAGATCCCTTCTTTTAATATAATCTAGCTGATGTTTAAACATAATTTACCTTCCTGAAGATTCTGTTTGTCAGTATTTATTACTTATTATTTGACTCTGTCAATACCAGGATGCTAGGAAGGGTGTCTTGTTTATTGATTTTCCCCCAGTTCTTCAACTGCAGCTCAAACGATTTGAATATGATTTTATGCGTGATACAATGGTGAAGGTTGGTCATCTCAATCCTCAATTTATATCACTTGATTTTGATACACAATTTTAGACATTTGTATGTTTATCATCTCGTGGAGTGTTTTACCAATAACAAGTGCACAAAAAGTGATGAAAAGGGGGAACATTATGCTTTAGTAGCTCTCTTTGGCCTTTTGCTGACATCGGGTCCCTATGACATTCTGCTTTTCTTTTTTCCTTTACGTTTTTCCACGTGCAAAGCTGATGTATTTTTTTATGTTACAACCTATTTACTCTCACTCTCTACTTATGTCGGGTTAACGGGTTTTAATGTGGATTATAGTGCTGTTTTGTTCATTATATATCCCTTAAAAAGTTAAAATGCATCTCTTCTGTATTACAGAGTTTGTATTTTCCTTTTACACAACTATCTTGTATTTCTGTATTGCTGTAGAATATTTCCAAGTCATTTGACTGCAAATCCCTAATTATACATTGCACTCTTGTTATGCTTTTACCAAGAAATTTAGAAAATTTGCTAGGAAAAGGTGAATATTTTGCTTTTTTTAAAACCACCTTGCACATTTGCTGATTCCTTAATTTTCAATTTGCTATCTATAATCGAAGAGTTTTTTTGTATTTTCAATATGATAAAACTTACGGTTTTCTTGGTCGCCTATAGATAAATGATCGCTATGAATTTCCTCTTCAACTTGATCTCGATCGCGAGAATGGGAAATATTTATCTCCTGATGCTGATAAAAGTGTCCGTAACCTATACACACTCCACAGGTATGTATATGCCTATGCATATTGTACTGTCTTTCTGGGCACTTCATGGTGGAAGTTCTGGAGCTGAATTGTGTAGTGTGAGTTTATTGCTTTTGTATATTGAATGGGTAAATTTTCATATGTTAGGATTGGATCAGGTGGCATTCAGACCTATGCTGTTTCATGTCTTGGTTTAATTTTTCTGTTTGATATTTGTTCTATGGTTTTACCTAAGTTTCTTAATTTGGCCTTTAACTTCTTTAGCTTTCATTTTCTTGATCCCTGGATTGTAGCATGTTCATGAATTTCTAGTGGTAACTATGTTGAAGCCTTGTGGTCAGTTGGGGATTACCTGTCTGATTATGGGCTATACTGTTGCTTTGCTTGAGGAAAGATGACACTTCTAATATGTACAAATATCATTTTGCAGTGTTTTGGTTCACAGTGGTGGGGTGCATGGTGGACATTATTATGCCTTTATAAGGCCTTCTCTTACTGATCAGTGGTATGCGTTTAACTTTTTCTGTTGGTTGGTATATTTTTTATGCATTAGCATGTAAAGAATTGCACATTAGAGGATATGCTATGTATATGGCTTTTTGAATATTTTATGTAGTTACATTCAAATTTCTTGGTTTCTCCATTTACTATCTATCAAAATTCCCATGTAGTGTGTATATGTTTAGAATGTGATTTGACTCATTTTGGCTTGGTATACAGTCTAGTACTGCAACTTGTATGGCTTAATAATTCTTGGAGCCATGGCTAGATCATTTCTGGACAAAGGGAATTTTTTTAACTAGCTCTGAATGTTAGTGATGCATAAATCTTGATTTTTTTTTCTCCCCTTCACATTAGAAATTACATGAAGAGAAGTCATTTAATTAGATAATTTTAAATCTGGTTTGTTATCTTGTCACTATAATCCTATGAGATTAAATATGTTCGAATAGGGAGGAATACGTGGCACATTAGGGATAACGTTATGTGGAACTTTTTCTGTGCACAGTTCAAATGTTTACCATAATTAAATTTCAAGTTTTACAGAATAGGGTATTTGAAGTTGTGACTTGTTTAACTGGAGTGATAATTTTCTGTGGTAGTTGATAGTAGTATGCTGTAGTGACATTACAAAAAGGCCAAATTTAGGGTGCGTTTGGCTGGGAAATTTTGAAAGCAATGGGATATGATACTCCCATTTCCATTAGTAGGTGTTTGGTTGGCTATGTGTTGAATTCTATTTCCCCACTTTTCTTATTGGAGCTCCCCATAAATCCTTTACAAATCAACCCCCACCTCTCCTTCATGGACTTGATACCTTTACCATCCCCATCCCTGTCCCCCACCAACTAACTGCCCACCACCTCTGGACAAAAAGAGGACTGATAAGTTATGCAATAGTTTATGCAATCTTTTTTATTTCCCAAAACCAATCAGTTTATTCTGACAATCAAATTTATTGAGGCTGATAATATTTCAATCAATCTCCTGACATTAATTCTGAATCATTGACATTTTGCAATTATTTAGCCAGCAAGTTACTCTTTGCCTCAACTTGCACTCCTCGATGCTGTTGCCACTTTGGTACTCATTAATTGACTGCTGTTGGCTCATGATTTCTGTTTCAAATTTGGTTTAGCATAGCTAACAGTAGAGCTGTAACTGAGGGCTAAGGGCAGTAGTTTGGATGCCATGTTGTTCATGTTCTGTTGGTCAATGATGTATAATGCAATGGATGCTTCTGCTCTCGCTCTGTCAAATTTGATACTACCCTTTGTGTTGCTTACTAGGTACAAATTTGACGATGAGCGGGTTACTAAGGAAGATTTGAAGAGAGCTTTGGAGGAGCAGTATGGTGGTGAAGAGGAGGTAAACTTTATCTGGCACTGTGGGAATATTTCTTGTATGGATCAACTCATTCTACATTGTTTTATCTTTACAGTTACCACAGACAAATCCTGGTTTCAATAACACTCCATTCAAGTTCACAAAATATTCAAATGCATATATGCTTGTTTATATACGTGAAAGTGACAAAGAGAAGATTATGTGTAACGTGGATGAGAAGGACATTGCTGAACATCTTAGGGTGAGAGTTTAGTGTGGTGCTGATTTTTTTTTTGCTGTGTTTTAAGATGCAATGTTTATAAAATTAATTTTTATTTTTCTGTATCCAGGAACGCTTGAAGAGAGAACAGGAAGAAAAAGAACATAAGAAAAAGGAGAAGGCAGAGGCGCACCTTTATACCATCATAAAGGTTACTGCTTTTTCTTTCTGGAAGTAATCCTAGGTATGTATACTCTTTCCTTGTCAATGTATGTTCTGATTGTAACTTTTCTTTTTCTAGGTTGCACGAGATGATGACTTGACCGAGCAAATAGGGAAGGATATCTATTTCGATCTTGTAGACCATGACAAAGTTAAATCTTTTCGTATTCAGAAGCAGGTGCCATTTAATGTTTTCAAGGTAATTCTTCTATTTGGATCAATCCTCATAGCTTGGTCTTGTCTACTATCCTGGAAAGGGTGCAGGGACTGTCTGGAGTACAAGTTGAACTTGAAATAACAATACTTTTGATACATATTGTTTATGAAACTTTTTTTTAGAAAGTAGTAGAACTAATTTTGACAGGATAATCTTAAAATTATAGTTCTTGGATCACGTCGAAGATAATGTTTAGGATTGGCTTCTGTCTTTTTGCGGAGAAAGTGTTTCCTATGATAAACTATTACTCCTATATCCTATATGTTTAAATTACTTGTCAAAAGGATATTCTTAATAAGTTTAACAGCGTTGCGATTGAAATTATCTTAGGAACCTGGCAGTTTTATTTTCCATCTTTTGTGGGACTACTCCTTACGTAGGCCATATGCCACCTTTTAGGTTATAGGTCTCCATGTCATCTAGTAGGGTTTTTTTCTTTTTGTCTTGATCAGCACAGCACCTCACAGCCCTACCAATCTGAGCAATTTTTTTTTGCTTGACTCATACATAACCTTTGACTTTTTGCCCATGCAGGAGGAGGTTGCTAAAGAATTTGGCATCCCAGTACAATTTCAGCGGTTTTGGCTGTGGGCTAAGCGCCAAAATCATACATATCGACCAAATCGACCATTGACACCTTTGGAAGAAACCCAATCTGTATGTCTTCATTTCCAACCCTTTGCATTATGTGTTTGGCAAGTATTTTCAGATCTTAAAAACATTTGTAGATGTTCCTTTTTTCCCGTGAATTTTGTTTATTAACGACTAAACTGAAGGGATACCTTTTTCCCGGACTGTTTTGTGTAGGATGATTTTAACGTGATAAAAATTTGGCTAGTTGTTTATTCAATAAATATTTGGTTGAATTGAAGATATCAGTGACAAGAATGCATGCTTTTGCCATTTTCCATGTGGTGGATCTCATGATGAAATTTTTTGTTTTGAATGTGTTGTAGGTTGGACAGCTAAGGGAAGTATCTAATAAGGTTCATAATGCAGAACTTAAATTGTTCTTGGAAATAGAGCTTGGAATAGTAAGTTTCTGTCATCTTCTGTTTTCCTCTTTTTGACTTCTGTTAAAATTATTTTTGTAAAAAGGGAACTGTTAGGTTTTGTGGCTGAAATAGCATGATTGCAGCACTAGGCAGAAACGGTTTTCTGGTAATAATTAAAGCTATTATACTATCATACAGGATTTACGACCTCTTCCACCTCCTGACAAGACAAAGGATGAGATTCTATTGTTCTTTAAGCATTATGATCCTGAGAAAGAAGAGATGCGGTAAATTTGATAGTATTTAGTGATTATTATTGTGTGCACTGCATAATTTAGCCTGCTTTTGCTATTCAGGGATGCAATCTAATTTATAATGGCAGTAATGTTTTTCCTCCCTCTCATAACTTCAGTTACGTAGGAAGACTATTTGTTAATGCCACTGGAAAACCTGGAGAGATTTTAGGAAAGCTGAAGGAATTGGCTGGCTATGCTGCTGATGAAGAAATTGAATTATATGAGGTTAGTTCATCAAAAGTTATTGTTGTTTCTTTAAGTGTGACATTAATTGCAACTCGGTATACATTATGATATTTTTGTTTTGGACAACAAATATTTGGAAATTTCTACTATTATGCACCTACAAGTAGCATTTTCGTATAGAGACTGCTTTCTACAGATGCTTAGGCATATTTTTTCTTAATTACATGCATTACTTACCGAGTAGTTTATAGCTCTGGTCACACTTTTTTCCCCTATATCACGGTAATTATAAAGAGTATGGCACTATGACGTAAACTGTACAGATTGTCTGATGTTATATGTTATGGTCTCTAGGAAATCAAGTTTGAACCAACTGTTATGTGCGAACATATTGACCGAAATCTCACTTTTCGTGGTAGCCAGGTATGTCTTTTAGAAACGTTTCCAACTTTTATCTGTGACTATGATGTACATTTCCATTTTTTTACATCTTGATCTTTGACTACCAGCTTGAAGATGGGGATATAGTCTGTTTCCAAAAATCCCTTCCAGCTGAAGCCGCAGAAAAATGCCGTTATCCAGATGTTCCCTCGTTCTTAGACTATGTTCACAATCGGCAAGTACGTTTTCTTCTTGAACTTCTAATTACACAACCTTTCAGTTGCCAATTAGGAGTATCTCTTTACAGGTCCGAAATGTATATAAGTGGTGATGGGCTGACGTTTATTTTGGCTGTTATTGTGTATACTTAACAGATATTGTCAGTTTCTATATCCTAAACTATCTTTGCATGCAGTTACTGGGTTTTGTAGTTTAAAAAATTACAAACGTTAGTGTTTGCAATTCTGATATGTATTTTTTTTTCCCTACTCACTTTCTTCCGTTTTGAGTGTCTAAAAGAGTTCAACTTGTTTCTACTTTATACCTATTTTGGAAAGCCCCTTTACTATCTGAACCCCCCTATCCCGCACTATTTACACCTTTTTTTCATTCATTCTGAACCACTTATATTTATACCGTATCTCTTGTTTTATTTACTTTTTCCTTGCACCCGCTTTCTTTTTCCATGCACTCCTAGATTTAGAAACAAGAGTCTATAGTAACCGAGTCTGACTTTCAGGAATGATGGGAGTATTAACAGATTTTCGTGGTCAATTTTAACATAGTTTGTTCTTGAAATGAGTGGTTGTGCAACTGAATAAACTTAGGAATTATTATATCAGACGGCTGTATATCAGTTATGAAAATTTCTGGTATAGGTATCCTGCATATATCTCATTTGAGAGACTTAATTTGTCCATCTAGAGCTGACATAGGAGCTGGTCCTTTGTAGGCTTCAATCTTTGTAGCTATTATTATTCGCCATCAAGATCCCAATTGGTGGTAATCTTCTAGCATTTACACTACACTGGTAGATGCTGTGTGCCTGTGCATCTCATAATCTTCTCTCCCTCACCCTCCCATGTGTTTGCTTACGTTATCTTTGTTCTTGAAAATATTGATTAAAGTTACTCGCATTGTATTGTCCTTGCATTTTCTTCGTGTTAACATTTTATTGGATCTTCCTCTATTGCTTTGGTACTTTGAGTCAATCATGTATGTCTTGACCTTCCAAAGCTTCTCAGTAGCTGTTAATGTTACTTAAGATAGCTGATTTATATGTAGGTTTTATTTAACCTGTTTATGCTGTCAATATGTGCACATCTGTTGGTTGTGTCTCTCTACCTTATCTATTTGTTTGCTTCATAGGTTGTTCATTTCAGATCTCTGGAGAGACCCAAAGAAGATGATTTTTGTCTGGAGTTGTAAGTTGGCCTTTTTTTTAACACTTCCCTATACATTTATGTGTGCTTGATTAAGGGATGTTGTATGTGAATGGTATGTCCGCTCTTACCCTTTTTACTTTCTTTGATTAATGGTAGGTCAAGACATCATACATATGATGATGTAGTAGAACGAGTGGCTCGTCAGCTTGGTTTGGACGATCCATCCAAATTAAGGCTGACATCTCACAACTGTTATTCTCAGCAACCAAAGCCCCAACCTATTAAATACCGGGGCGTGGATCATTTGTCGGACATGCTGGTCCACTACAACCAGGTAATGGTTTATTTATTAAGCTTTCAAGCAATGACAGATAGTGGTTATACGCTGTGTGTTTTAATTAATTGCTTCAACCTCCTAAAACTTAATTTTGAAATTTCAGACTTCTGACATACTGTACTATGAAGTTCTGGACATACCTTTGCCAGAATTACAAGGCTTGAAAACTTTAAAAGTTGCTTTCCATCATGCGACAAAAGATGAAGTGAGTTGGTTGAGATTTTTTTTTATACCTTTTATTTCCAGGATTTAATGTGTTCTCAAGTAATTTTTTTGGTGCCTCCTTTTTTATCAGGTAACCATTCACACTATTAGACTGCCTAAACAGAGTACAGTGGGGGATGTTCTTAATGATCTGAAGACAAAGGTACAGACTTGGTTTTATGCAGTACCAAGTGTATTTTGCTATGCACCTTGTATTTTGAGCATATCTTTGTTCTACATTCCCTCTATTGCTGACCAAAGCTCTTATTCTTGCATCTCAAATTCTTCTTGTTCATTTTGCAATTGTTGATCTTTTGTCTGAGACAATTATTGGAGTGTTAATATCCTGAACTTCTGACCTTTATCTGCCCTTATCCTATTATTATTAATTATTTGCCTTTTCTTGAGTAGGTTGAATTGTCACATCCTGATGCTGAGCTGAGGCTGCTTGAAGTATTTTATCACAAGATCTATAAGGTACAGCTTATATCTTGTTATCCGATAGACTTATTGTTCAGTTTTAACTGTTTCAAAATAAATAGAGTTGCCTCCATCTTTGTCCTTTGACCTTGATATTACAATTTGTATGTATCTAGTTAAACAATTATTTATTTTGCTTCTTTATTGCAGATTTTCCCTCCTAATGAAAAAATTGAGAATATAAATGATCAGTACTGGACTTTACGAGCAGAAGAGGTCAGTGTTTCCTTATAGTCTTTCGCACAAAATATTTGGTTACTTAATTCTGTGGTTAGCGTTATTAACTTTGACCAGTATTTTTTTGTAACTACATCATTGTTTAGATTTTGATAATGTTAGTGTTTGCCAAATTGCCTTCTATGGTAAAGCATGTAATGATATCTAGACATAACTTTCAAATTAATCCCAACATTGTTTATTCATCTATTTGTTTTCTAGATTCCTGAAGAAGAGAAGAACCTGGGTCCTCATGATCGACTAATTCATGTGTACCATTTCACTAAAGAGACAGCGCAGAACCAAATGGTAGCTAACTTACATTTATAAACAGTGCTTTCAAAATCTCTTCCTCCAACCTCTTTCTATTTGTCCCTAGTGACAACCTTTGATTTTTGGACTTATGTATGATATTGGATCTTTGAATACATCCTGATTGACTTTTCCCTTAACAGCAAATACAGAACTTTGGTGAGCCTTTTTTCTTGGTGATTCATGAAGGAGAAACTTTGTCTGAAGTCAAGGTGAGAATACAAAAGAAATTGCAAGTTCCAGATGAAGAATTTTCTAAGGTATGCTGATTTCATATGATACTGCATTTCATGGTTATTTGTTCAAGTTGAAAGTCGGTCTGGTTTTACGGCTGTTGATGAAAACATCTTGTTCTTTGCTCTATTTTGCCAGTGGAAGTTCGCATTTCTTTCATTAGGGCGTCCAGAATATCTCCAGGACACTGATGTTGTGTCCAGTCGTTTTCAGGTTCTTTTTTATTCTCTTTTATGTTTGTTTGTCTATTATTGCTATGCATTTTTTTGTAAGTTGATTTTTATTATTGAACTGGTCCTTCTGTCTCTGCCATTCAGAGAAGAGATGTTTATGGTGCGTGGGAACAGTACCTTGGATTAGAACATGCTGACACAGCTCCTAAAAGAACTTACACAGCAAATCAGGTAAAAGTGTTTTATTTACTGGTTTGTCTTGTCAGCATACCATGTCTAAAATTTATTTAGTCTAGATTGATATGTCATATGAACTATAAGATCTATTAAGTAATCTAATTTCATGTATTGCATGATGAAAGTTGATCTGTGCCACCGACTGTTAGTTTGAAACATTTGGTTCTATTTTTAACATGATAATGAACTGGATTTAATATGTTATATTGCAAAACTGAGCTGGATTCAACTATGATATATCACAAACTGAACTGGATTCAACTATGAATACTTATGAGTTATAATACTGCTGAATCATTTAGCATACATTGTTACTTTCTCTCACTTTCAGATATTGCAAGTTCTTGATGCACTTAGTGCTGAAAAAATTTGGAAGTGTTCTTCAATTAATTCTTGTGGTTGCAAATTGCAGAACCGTCATACATTCGAGAAGCCTGTAAAAATCTACAATTAGGGTGATTTTGGGATATAATTCTATTTGCATGGGCAGACTCTGGCATCCTTGAGGGGTACTCCATTGCTGTGTTAGTAGTCGTCATGGTTCATTGGTCCAGAGCAAACCAGCACCTAGCATATCAGATGCCCTGGTCAGTACGGGTGTCGGCAAGGATTTAGAATGGATTTTGTTAGCTGTATAATTCTTTCTTGTAGTGTGTATGTGGAAGATCTTTTTCTGATGCCGGTATTTGATTTTTCTTGTCGACCACAAGTCTGCAACCCTCGTCAAGCTTTTCAAGTCTTCCATTTTCACTTATGGAGTTGGTTTCAATGGCTGTAGTGTGTGTTCCTCGGTACCCAGCCACAGTTGTAAGTTTTTTTAAAAAAAATGGTACATAGATGAGATTTTGGCTTTAGGAATGTGTACACAGCATAGTTGGGGTGCCCGCCATTTTTTTTCGTTTGCTCACCTCTCCTGTTTATTTAGGCACATGTCTAGTTTTGGGGGTTTCGGACTGATAATTGTTTGTTTGTTATTTATGCAGCTCCCCCGCTCTCTATTTATTTATTTTTATTTTTTACCTGGTCTTTTTCCCTGTAAAAGAAGTTTGTCAAGTACAGGCTTGATGAGTCTAAATGAGTAAAGATTTTAACAGCTTCATCTATGTGTAATGATAAAACCGGAGTTAGTCGGAACATTTTGCAGTATATTTTCTGGAGATGTTCCACGCCCAATTATACGTGACACTTGTCCAAAAGTGCATTTGTAGCATATTTTCATCTTTGATTGCAGACCTGCATGAATTATCTGGTGAAAATGCTTTTATTCACAAAGTAAATGTTTATTATAGACATCCTCAAAATCGTATCCCTATTATAAAATATCTTCAGTTATTTAAATGGTGACTTGGTGAGCCATGAGATTATGAGACTGTTTTCAAGAATTTGTACTTGACAATAGTAGGTAACTTTAAAAAAGTCCCATCTTAATCAAGAATTTGTAATACACTTGGCTAACTATACCAATTTCAAAATTAATTCATTCCAAATACCCAGTGAAATTCATCCCAGTATTCCACCTTTATAATTGGTTATCCTTTCTGCCTTTATTTTGTTGCGAAAGAATGGATAATTAGTTTCTGAATGCTTTTTAATAAATTGTAACAAAGATTTCATCCATAATATCTTTAGTTTTGTCCCTTAATAAATTGTAACAAAGATTTCATCCCTCAATAAATTGTAACAAAGATTTAGTCCATAATACTATACAGTATTTGATTCCGTCCCTAAATATGAATAATGTACTCCCGCCATGACAACATAACATGTTAAGATTTTTATTTTAATTTTTTTTCGAGGAATAACATGTAAGTTGAAATTATACTTGTACTCTTTTCAAAAAAATAAAAAGCAATTATACTTGTACTCAACTAACCGGAATAGTAAATTCAAATAAAGTAAAAATCCCTTAAAAAAAAAGATAAAAAGTAGTATAGCCATTGTGATTTTAATCTGGTTTTTCTTTCATGATAAAGAAATTTTTATAAACCGAAAGAGCACACAATTCTTACAAAACTTGGGAGAAAAAAGAAAAATGACAAATATAAACTCTATTGCATAGAGGCCATAGACTCTGCATAAAGTAGTACGACGTACTAGTAATACTCCTGCCAACAAAATTTCTTGTTTTTATTCAATTCTAATTGTTTCTTACCCCTTTTAACCATACTAATAATAATAATAATAATAATAATAATAATAATAATAAAACATAATAATCTCTATTACATTGTTATAGAACTCTGTAAAGTAGTACCGGTAATACTGTGACATAAAATATGCTTGTTTTAAACTTTATTGGAAATTTTATCAACTAAAACTTTTAAATGCTTTTTTTTTTTCACAAACAATTTTAAAAATTTATTTTATGAGAAAAAACCAGATGAATATTTTTTAAAATGCATTTTATTTGAGAGATTTTAAATGCATTTTTTATCACACAATTTTAAAAATTTATTTTACGATGACAAATTCAATGAATAATACTCCCTCCGTCCCTAAATTACATTTCTCTTTGGAAATTTATACGGGAATTAAGGAGGGAAAAATAAGACAAATAACAATAATTAGATAATGCAATGGGAAGTACAAAGATAGATTAATTATTACTCATGACATGTCATCAATCCTTTGCAAAAAAAAAAAGGACCAATCACATGCTCCTAATTGAAAATTCTTAACCAATCATATTTATTGTAATTTGGCACAAGGATTATGAGTGAGATTAGGTAAGAATGAGTGAGAAAGCATTAAATATAAAACAGAAAAAGAGAGTTGATTTACGAAAAAAAAACTTATCAAAATTAAAAACGAGGAATGTAATTTTGGAATACCAAAAATAGAAAGGAGGAATGTAATTTAGAGACGGAGGGAGTATATATTTTATAATTAAATTCATAGACGGCGTTTTTCCTTTGACTCGAATTTTCGGCATTGGCCCTTACTTGTGTGTCACGTGACCCAACTTAAAGACCCATTTCCCTTTTTTTTTTTTTTTTCCTCCATTCCCTCCAATTTCACTTCTCTTTCTTCCTTGTTCTTCTGCAAGCTTTCAACTCAATTTTTCCTGGAAAAGTTGATTTGTGGGTGTTGTAGCAAATTTTTCACTTTGGTTTGCGTGAGTAATTTCTTTTTAATCTTGGCTATATACTACGAGTACAAATTTTTTGAGTTCAAAATCTACTCTTTCCTTCACCCTTTACTCTCAACCATCCATTGATTCTTAGCCCATTTATACTAGTATTTTTTTTTTTTGTAAAAAGTTTCTTCAAATCGCTACTCAAACTTCATACCCACATTTTATTGTCTCCTATTCAAATGCTACTCAAATTGTTATTTTGAACTTTGAACTTACATATAATTAATCAAAACCCGCCGAACATAATAATCTCTCGAAAAAAAAAAATGAAAACCAATAGAGTAGAGTAATAAGAAGTAAGAATTAGACAACCTTTTTCAAAAAATAAAATAGTACAGGTAAACATTGATCGAGATGAAAATAAAACCAATAGAGTGATAAATAAATTCTTAATCAAAACCCACTTCATAAAAAACCATTAGGGCATAAGGAGTAAGCAAGTAGATATAAGATGTGTCCAAAACAAAGGATTTTGCATGAAATTGTACAACTCTACCTCTGTTATTCCGTACTACTAATATGGTGGTGATATGACCATTAGTCCATTACTGCACACTTTAGTAATTCTCTCTTCTCTGCACATCAAATTTGCACTTCTTCATTTTCTCACTCCTCTCCTCTTCTCTACTCTTTCTCTCTCCTCATTTTCAAGAACTTCAACTACAACCGCCATTGTTACTCAAGGTTTTGTGTTATTGTTTGTCATTACTTTACCTACTACTCCGTACCATTTTCTCTCTCCTCTTCTTCCCTATTCCTCTTTCTCTCTCCTCATTCCAAACCAGCTCAAGCTTAGTCTCCATTATTGCTTTCTCGCAACTCATTTACAGCTTGCTTCTCTTCGCTTCGGGAGTTCGGTTATATACTTTCTGCTCAATATTAACTTCAATTTAGTTTTCTTCTTTGAGATTTATAATGATAAATGGAATGTAGATCGATGACCTTTAATTTTTCTGCTTGTTTTGATGTTTTATGACTAAGTTGGGTTTCTGATTCTTGAAATTTGGAATTACTTCTGATTGTTCAACTAGTATTGTTCTATAAATGTATTTTGAATTAATAGTAATGTTTTGTTAAATTGTTGTGGGTAGATTTGAAAGAATTTGGGATGATTAGTACACTATTTAATACGGATTTTTTTAATTTGTTTTTGAGATTTTATAGACGTGTTATGGTGTTTTCCTGTTTATTCAAAATCGTTTAATTACATTATATATGAATTATACAGGATGACGATTAGGCTCTCTTCTCGATTTATTGAAGAATTGCCTGAAAATCACCGTGTTGAGTTTCGTATCAACAGGTGTGACACATCGAAAGCTAAAATTAGACTCCTGCGTATGACTTGCGACGCTAGGAAGTTATGTTCTGGTAGAAATATAGAGGTTGAAGAACAAAATATAGAGGTTGAAGAACAAGATATCTTCTCGATACCTAGTACGACGAATACTGGAAATCCCCCTGTTTTTATCATTCACGTCGAAGGGTATTATTTGAATATCAGTTTGTTGGCAGCAAAAAACAATGATTACTTGTATGCAATTAAGGATGGCGACAATAATTGGAGAGAAACAGTTGGGGCAAAATATTCAGTTGAGAATGCAACCGAGCTTACTCCTGCTTTCAGAGGCTCTTACTTGGACTTGCCCGGAGGTATATGGAGAGCCCGGATAAGATTTGGATTCAAAGCTTTGTGTCGAGCACTTATTGGTTTGCACAGAAATGTTAATGTGGAATCAAATTTTATGTGTGTCAGTGTGGTGGCAAATGTGTTTGAGCCGACGCGTTATATTGCCCTCCAGAATGCGTTTATTCGTCAAATGAGCAGAGAGTTATGGTTAGGATTAGATAGTAAAAATTTCAATTATTTTAGTAAGACCGTGTTGAGATATCGAAGGAGTAATATTTGGACGTTTGCTTGGGATGATGGTGATTGGTGATGATATTGAAGGCAATGAGGTTGAAGATGAGAAAAAATGGCCCCGTCAAAAGAGACGTAATGATTTTGATATCGAGGAAACTAATCCTGAGTTGAAACATAAAGTAAGATTAGAAATGGCCCCAATGATTATTGGGCTGCTGAAATCGACTGAGAGACATTAATTTTCCAAGTAAACGTCTATGATACTCTTAAGTTAAAGAGAGCAATCTGTCCTTGTATCTCAATGTTGCTGATTCTCCTAAATTGCTTTACAGGTGGAGGTATGAACGATTCAGCTGAGGTCAAGCATATTCACAATAAGTGTACCGTGAGCAAAGATATGTATTGCCTTTGGTAACTAGTAAAAGCCTTAACCTTCTTTTTATCCTTCCATGCATTTGCTTTTTATTGTTGAACGAACATGGAGGGTGCAGGAACTGAGGCAATTTATCTCTGATGTCAAGGTGGCTGCTATCGCTAAGGATACCCTGGATAGACGCGGTTTACAGTTGCTCTTCATCTGTTTCTTGACTGTGCGGAAAGCCAATTAATAAGGCCAATCTCTCCTACGAGAATAGATACTAACTTGCATTGCTTTTCATCTTTCTATGACTGGTGTGTTGATATGATTGGCAAATGCAAGGTGACTCAAATCTCCTGCTTTGGTGCTTCTGTCAAAAAATTTCTTTTAGTGCTACATTTTAATTTCTTTTATATCACCCTTGTGTAAATTTGCAGATACGCAACACCAGTTTAATGCTCGGGAAAGTGATTGCAGATTTACATCTTATATGCCTAATATATGACCCCAGCAGAGGGTATCTTGTAAATGAAATTGATCTTGTGGAGGCTGAGCTGAGGTTGGTGCTTGTAAGATTGTAGACTATTGAATTGGTCCCATGATACTAAAAAGGAGACAAGGTATGTCGGGCTTAAGAATCAGGGATCTAACTGAATTCTCTGCTCTAGACTCTATCACATTGCTTATTTCTGAAAGATCAATTGCAGCCCCAGCTAGTCTGTTGAATGTTTCAGTAAGCTAACTATCTGTTTGCATTTGGTATGTAGGCTGTGTATCATATGCCTACAACTGAGAATGATATGCCATCTGCAAGC